CCTCCCAGCATCGCTCCCCCATCTCCGCCGCTTTCCTGCTGTCGCCGAGCCGGTCGTAGTACCCCGCAAGGTTGCTCATCGAGACGAGTGTGTGCGGATGCTCCTCGCCGAGCTGCCTCTTCCTCGCCTCCCAGCATCGCTCCCCCATCTCCGCCGCTTTCCTGCTGTCGCCGAGCCGGTCGTAGTACCTCGCGAGCTGGCCCATCGAGACGAGTGTCTCCCGATGCTCCTCGCCGAGCTGCCTCTTCTTCGCCTCCCAGCATCGCTCCCCCATCTCGATTGCTTGATGTAGCAATATTCCGCTGCCCTTGTACGATGCATATCGCGCGGCTTTGTCCATTACATCTCGCCACTCCTTCAACGATGAGGACACATGAGCCGTGAGCTCCATCGCGGACCGTGCATGTGGGAACAGCATCTCGCACACGCTGACCTTAGCGTGCTCGACCCAAGGCATCGTCTGATCGAGGCTGACGAGAAGGCGATCCACGTGCATGCCCATCTCCCCTCGAGACAACGACCACTTGCGCGTCGCAAGCTGTACCAATCGATGCATTTCAAACGCCGAGTCGTCGGACGATTCGATGATAAACGAGAACTCAAGGAGAACACTCAAGTCCCCTTCAAACCCGGCATCTTCGCTTTCGCCTTCGCGCTGCGGACTGATCAGGAGCTCGGGAACGCTATTACGGTCGCAGAGACACATTAGCGACAGGAGATCGGCTGCGGACCTCCTCGTCCGTCGAATATGCTCGAAAGAGATCTGCCAGGTCAGGATGATCGAGTTGCTGGCGTCCGGATCGCGACGCAGATCGCCGTGGTCGCGATCGAGGAGCGCACCTTCGGACGCGTCTAGTCTCTCCAGATCCTCCATGTACCGCTCGATCGTGTACTTGCGCCGGCTCTGCTGGAGAAAGGCTGCCGCCTGCGTGATCGCAAGCGGCATGTATTCTAGCGCGCCGACGAGCTGCCGATGCCCCGCTGTGTCAGTGATCCGGCGCAGCTTGCGTGCGACCAGTGTCATAGCATCCGCCTCGTCCATCCGGTCGACGTCGATGGTGTCGTGCTCTTCGACCAGCCGTCGTGCCGCTCGTCTATTGCGCGACGTGACGATCATCGCGCCGTGCGGACATGTGGGGATGCAGTCGATGAGTCTCCCGGACTCCGACCGGTCCACCAGATAATCGATATCATCCGCATTGTCGAGCACGACCAACCAGTGACCATTCTCACTGTCAAGCAGCCATGCACGCAACAGCTGATAGATGTCTGCATTCACATCATCTCGTCCGCGTATCTTGCCGAGCGATGCGATCTCGCGCACGCTCTGCGCGAACCGCGTCGCGCTGCTGGCGTAGATCCACAGCACCCATCGGTCGGCGTGCACGTCGTGATACCGATAGCAGTGCTCGATCGCGAGCTGTGATTTCCTAGCGATTCCTTAGTCGTGCCACGCCGGTGTGTTCTGCTACCTCTTACCCGACCCCGCCCAGCCCTACCAGCGCCGCTCGGCCTGACGGCGCCGACAACCGGCGCGCGATCTGCTCGGTCAAGCCAACGCGCTCGACGAAATGTGGGTCGCGGCGGAACGGGAGGTGCAGGCGCGGTTTGGCCGGTGTCGCGGCTAGTCGGACATGGTCAGCAAGTGGGATGTCGTCGCAGCCGTCGCATGGTCTTGTTCGCGTGGCATTGTTCGTAAGCTACTCACCCGGCGCAGCGTGCCAATTCACAATCGTGCCCGCCTACGGCCTACGGTCAGTCAAGCAAAAGTCATATCATAAACTCTAAGAGGACACTCATGTATATAATTCCTATCGATACATATTACACAGACTAATTAATTTCTTTCGTGAGCATTAACGGACAACCATTTGGCTGGTGAAAGAGGTGAACTCGACAAGAGCAGTGAAATTAATTATGCAGCCTGAGGTTACTGGGGCAGTGCATGTGCGGGGATCACGACGTGAGAGATGTAGCTCGGCCAGCTTGTGTGTCCGCAGCATCCTCAACGCCTGGACAAGTAGTGTATGTTGCTTGTGGCGTGATCTGAAATCACAGCGTTTCGGTTATAGATTGCAGCGTTCAGCCATGTCAGCGCGCAACCGTCTATGTCAGTGCACAACCATCATTTCATTCCTTTTTTGTACAAGAGTCTTCGCGAAGCATTCTTGGCTTCCCTTTCAGCTGGCTTCTAGTCGAGCTTTCATACGTGGGTCTCCCCCTGACTCGCGATCATGTCGGGCGTGGAAGGCATCGCGGTGGTCGGGCTGATCGACGCCTGCATCGGCATCACCAAGACCATCCTCGACATCGGTCGAGCCGTGCGCGACGCGCAGGGCCTGCCGCCGAAGCTGCGCGATCTGTTCGACAGGCTCCCCGCTGTGGAGGACCTCCTGGAGAGCGCGCGCGAGGCGTGCGACGAGGGCAGAGTCGGAGACGAGAAGCATCTCCATGTGCAACCGCTCCTACAGCAGTGCGAGGCCGCCCTCGCCGAGCTGCGCGACCTCCTCCGGAAAGCGTGTCCGAAAGACAGCGACGATCGCAAGACGCGCATCTGGAAGGGCACGAAGACGGTCTTCTTCGGCCGCGACAGCAGAGTGCAAGCGCTGCTCGTGACCGTGCTCGACAATCTGAAGCTCCTAGAGCAGCAAGCAATCTATGCGATCGGCGACCGGCTCGACGAACTTCAAGAGCTGACAGAAGCCTTAGGGCAGGAGGACAGCGGGAAGTACTCGCACAGCGGCACAGGAAACATCCTCGCGGTCGAGGGAGGGACATCGGAGAACCATGTGCAGGGTGGCAGCAACAATCGGATGATCATCAAGCCCGGCGTGTATCACGAAGGTGCATCCAGTACGTAGTAGCTTCGAAATCTAGCACGGACTATACAAGGCTGATCATAGTTTGTGCACGCGTGTAGTCAACCATTATTACGGTCAAGGTTAGTAATGTACGATTGTGTAGGAGCTCGCTAGAACAACGGTTGAAATTCTGCTCCTTCTAGAAAAGGCCATCGAAGTCCAAAACAGTGTTATGCGAGACCTGCGGGTCACACATCCAAAGGACGATAAAATCCGCATCGAGCAAGACAAGGGTGGCTTGCTCGCGGGAGTGTGCGACTGGATCTTCGACTATCCAGAGTTCCAACGCTGGCGCGA